ACCATCGTTTTGCAATTGCAATTGAGATTGCAAAAAGATCGTTGTAAAGTGGTTTCATCGTAATGCGGGGCAATCGTAAAGTGAGGCAGCACTGTACATGGTATATCCATATAACGAAATTCACACAGGCACCCAGAGACCAGACCCACATGCACACATATTAAAAAAAATCCCCAAACACTCCCCACGCACTAAAAATCCCCCACTAACAGTACAAACATCTACACCGCAGGCTAAGTAACACTGTCCAACTAACTATTCACTACTGGTGGTCTTTAAGCTCATTATTAAGTGCAGTTATAGCTCTGGGATCAAAACGCCCCGAGTAGACGTTGTCTAGAGGGGCGGGGTAAAAATCGAATAAATAAATAAATAAAATAAACTATTCAGAAAACATGTGGTCCGCATCTTTATTGTTCTGTATCTTCTGCCAGATGGCAACAATTCAAAAAAAAGTTGTAAGCAGGATGGGAAGAGTCTTTCAGGATGCTGTGTGACTTCCTTAGACAGTGGGATGTGAAGATGTCATCCAGGGTTGATAGCTGGAGCCCAATTATATTATGGGCAATTTTAATATTTCTCTGCAGAACTTTTTCGTCCACTACAGGGCTACTCCCAAACCATGCCAGAATGCCATAGGTTAGGACACTCTCAATGGTGCTACGATAGTATGACAGAAGTAAATGCTGAGATAAATTTAACTTGCCAAGCATTCTCAGGAAATACAGCCTCTTCTGTGCCTTCTTCATTAGCATGTCGGCATTTATAGTCCATGAGAGGTCCTCTGAGATGTAAGTGCCCAGAATTTTAAAACTACCAACCCTCTCCACTTCCTCGCCATTTATGTACAGTGGTAAATGTACATTTCTCTTCCTCCTAAAATCAATTATGAGTTCTTTAGGGTTTTTTTATGTTAAGTGTAAAACTATTTTCTTTACACCAGAGTACCAACCCTTGTACTTCCTTTCTTCCTTACTGTATCCTCACATTTCCATAACAGTTTCAGACTACAGGGCTTTAGTGCAAGTTTCAGATTCAAAGAACACCCCTTTTTTTTAAACATTCAGCAACAGAACCATCACCATCATCTTAATTCTATGGATCATCGAGTCCAGCCCCTGTCAAAGAGGGACACTCCCAACTTCTGGCTCCACAGCCAGAGACCTAAACCACTGAGCCGTCCACTCGTGCAGTGGTTTACAGGGACGCAACCCCATTGACCCCAACCTTGCAGGGAAACAGTTGTATTTAACCAGGATTCGCCTTTGCATTCCAGTGGATCAAGGATAAGGATGGACCCCTCGACACTCACATACCTTGACATTGAGGAGCCTTGTGTGTGCAGACTGGCAAATGAATGAGGGATTTTCTCATAGTCACATGGCAGTGTTTTTCCCTTTCCTGCCTCTGGGGGCGCTGTGGGACTGTGCAGCTTGCCCAAGGCTACACAGGCTGGCTCTACTCACAGGAGGTACCGTGGAGAATTGAGTTCCCAACCTCTGGCTCTGTGGGCAGATACCTACACCCCATAACTATCCAGCCTTGAAACCTGGAATAAAGACACACATTTTGTGGGCACTGCAGCAGCCTTACCGAGCCCCGTTGATTCAATTGGGCTCTTCTAGTTGAAAGTGACAATTAATGGTGTGTGTGTGTGTCTGTGAGCAATAAACAAGATGCAACACGATTAGGAAAAAAATTGTTTATTTCTTTGGGCCCATGGACAAATGTTTCTATACAAGAAACACAGAGAGCTTTATTTCAAGAAGCACACTATCAAACTATCTAAGACCATTTGTAATCACATTAAATAACATGATTACACTGGACTTCTTCTGTTGCAATCTTAGCCTTAAAAGCTCCAATACATTTCAGAGCAGAAAGCCCCGGACCTCTCTATGACCTGTTGAGCCAAGGATTATAATTGTTGGTTACCAAACCAGGGGAAAAACGAAGGGGGAAGCATTAAGCATTAATCCTAGACACACTCTTTACTTCAGTAGAAATACGATATTTTGAACTCTGTGGCCAAAATCATATTAGTTTTTTTTTCCTATAGACCTATTAGTGCAGTCAAAGAAGTTGCAGAAGCGAATTGAAGTTAATTAATAAGATGTTTGCATACCTGGCTGTGTGCCCTGTCATATAACTGGGCACACTAGTTGTGCGACTGGCACATTGTTTAATTAGCCTCCGTGTGCTGTTGTGATTTCTGCAACAGTGTTCATGGCACCCTGAAAAAAATGAACCCAACAGGATCTGGGTCTCCAAAGTCTACATCTGAGCAATGCATAGGCTGTGACTCTCTCAAGAAGTTAATGCAAGTCAGTGAAACCAGGGTGTGGGAGGTCTAAGGATTCATGCCCTGCACAGGCACTTTCTGTAGGCATCTAGTTGGTCACTCAGGGAGACAAAGAACGTGGACTACTAAGTCTCTAAACAGGCTGCAATCTCAGCATGATTACTTGGTTACTTTTTAACAGGCCCTATCCACAGAGCCACACTGAAGGTCTAAATAGACTACTAAGTCTCTAAACAGGCTGCAATCCTCAGCATGATTACTTGGTTACTTCTTAACAGGCCCTATACACAGAGCCACACCAAAGGTCTAAATAATGGTACAGTTGTGCCTGGCAAGACAAATGGTTTTGGCAACGGGGTTGATGACTTGCAAGACAAATGTTCATATGGCCGTGCTTCGCAAGACGAATGTTTTCCGCTTTTTTTGTTCCTGCCTCGTGTTTGCTGATTTTAAATGTTTTTCTATGATGTTTAAAAAGTTAAAGTTTTTTGATTGAAATTTTTTAAAATCATCTGCACTATATGTATGGCTTTAAAGAGCACTCAATAAACCCTTTGTAAACCAAATTTGACTTTGTTCTGACTTTCCCCCCCATAGGAATGCATTAATTAGATTTCAATGCATTCCTATGGGAAAATGCGTTTTCGCAAGATGAAGTTTTCACAAGACATTAACCGCGGAATGCATTAAATTCATCTTGCGAGGCACCACTGGACTTAGTACCAGGCTGACTGTGAGCAAAGAGATAGTATGGCTTCATTTTCCTTTAACGCAGCATTCTTGAACTTGGCAACCTGCAGGGGGACTGGACGACAATTCCCACAACGCCAAGCTACTCTAGTGAAGGAATGATGGATGTTGTAGTTGGAACCACCCAAAGGATGCTTGCTGGGTTAAAGAAGGCTGCTTACAAGTCAGACAGGAGGCAGATTTTGCAAACAATTTTCTCCCCCCTTGTGCGCGTGCACTTTCAAACAAGGAACCTTTCCAGAGATACGGCACATCCTATTGATCTTTTCAGTGGCGCTCAAGCTCTGTGTATGCAAAAAGACAAAGGAGTGGCCAGTTCTAGTCATTTCCATATTATATCAAACACACACCCAGAAATAATGCTCAGTGCCTAGTTCTGTATGAGGTAGTCTACCTGTGTAAGGGGTATCGTTCATCAAACCGTAGAAGGCCTACATGAACACTTCTTCTGCAATGGAGAATTCTCAGTGCCTCCATTTCTATGGCCTTACTAATTCTGTATGGAGAAGTAATCACAGAAACCTAAGTGGAAGTTCAAAGTAATAAGAAACCTATCGTATTTATCTCCTCAGCATAAACAAAGCCCCAGTTATGGCAGAATCATGCTCATTCTTTCTTACAAAGGTCCATCGTGTGGGCAGCCGGATGGTTTCCAAGCTTGTGCAGGAAGATAGCCACCAATAAACTTCTAAAACTGCCCACCTCGTTGCATGGATGAATTGTTGTAAAAGCCAAAGGAATGGACAAGATTTTGCCCTCAGATTCAGCTCAGAATTCATGCCAAACTATGGTGTGGTGTCACACGGGACCAGCTGCTATCTGAACAGATGCCTCTTCTCAAACACAGCAGGGTGTGCTGCCTCTTCTAAACTTTAGGCTGAACACAATGTTGATCCAATGTTTCCTGTCTTTGTCAAATCGCCTTCCCCTCAAGTACTCCCTTGCTTGCTAATGTCCAAGTCGTGGGGCAAACTACGGTTTATTGTGGCACTCACAATGGCAAATCATGGTTTGCATATGTCTGCACACACACACACACACACACAAACTAGGTAATATGTGCCTCATTTTTTTTCCTTTGCAGAGAAGCTCTAGTTTTCTCACAACAGGCCATTTTCTCCACCTCTGTAGCTTGCATTTAGTGTGTTTTGTGATTGGTCCTTTGTATATAAACATAGACTCCACTTGCAAGGCGGGTTGCTGAGGAACATACCTTTCAGAAAATTCTGTCAGGGGATGGGGAATGGTTTAATGGTTTTTTTTTCCTTTGCAGAGAAGCTCTAGTTTTCTCACAACAGGCCATTTTCTCCACCTCTGTAGCTTGCATTTAGTGTGTTTTGTGATTGGTCCTTTGTATATAAACATAGACTCCACTTGCAAGGCGGGTTGCTGAGGAACATACCTTTCAGAAAATTCTGTCAGGGGATGGGGAATGGTTTAATGGTTGAAAATACAGTTGTATCTCGCTAAACGATGACCCCGCTAAATGACAAATCCACATAACAATGACTTTTTAGCAATTCGTAAAACAGTCATTCCAATGGGGGATTTTCGCTGGACATCAATTAGGTCCGTGCTTTGCAAACTGTTTGTTCGCAAGACGACAATTTTTTCGGCTTCACAAAATGGCTGCCCTGTGTTTTCCGGACCAATGCTTCACAGGGCAGCCATTTTTACAGCTGATTGGTGCTCGCAAAATGGCTTCCCTATGGGCAATCTTCATTGGACGAGGAGGTATTTTCCCCATTGGAACGCATTAAACCATGTTTCAATGCATTCCAATGGGGAAAGGGTTTTCTCATGACGACGATTTCACTAAACAGCGATTTTCACGGGATGGATTATCGTCGTCATGCAGGGCACCACTATACATAATCCTTTTAAAACTGTAGTCTGACTATGAGGTGCCTCTGCAGAACATTTCCAGACTCTCTAGAGCCTTTTTAAAAAAATAATGGTTATCACAGCCTTTCTTTAGGGAAAGAAAAGCAAAAATAATACCTTGGCTGAACTACAAGGATTTAACTCAGTGCTTCCCCTCCTTGGGTCCCCAGATGTTTTCAAACTACATCTCCCAGAAATCCTGGTCAGCACAGCTAGTGATGAAAGTTTTTGGGAGTTTTAGTTCAAGAATGTCTGGTGACCCAAGGCTGGGAACAATCGATTTAACTGAAATAATCCCACACACTGAATGTCAAATATTGCTGGATGACTCTGAAAAATACCCACAGAAGAATGACAGCCATGAACAACAGCAATAGCAATAATAATAAAAAAAAACTTTGGATTTTCTTCTTTGAAGTTACATGTTTGGAAAATACATCCCATTCATGCTTCTGGAGTTCAGGAGCAGCAAAATGCATTGATTCCAGGGCCTGAAGGTATTTTTCCCTCCGAGTCATTGTTTGGCCGGTCGTACGGCGCAGAAACCGCTTAAAGACTGCTTAGGATCTGAAGCAACCCGAACAGCTGGTGGGCTTGGAGGAATTCAAGTGTGGCTTAACGACATCGGCTTCAACCGGCTGCACCGGGTCACTCTCGCTGGCAATGATGTGCCTCACTAAACACCTGGAGGCTTCGTCAATGTTGATGTTTTCCTGCAGGTGCAAGGACGGAGGGACAGAACATAAACAGGTTTAGAAATAAATGGCAAAGATTCTCCAGTCTTACTGAAAAGCAGGGGCAGGCATAGTGTAGCTGGGGGGGAGGGATTTCAGGAAGCAACATTTTGGTTTGAGATCAGGGATGTGGAGTCGCAATTCGCACCCAAGCCCGACTCTGGGGTTTCGGGGGAGGGATGCAGCTCTCCACTCAGCCCCATTTGGCCAAGGCACAGTAGCGAGTCCCTATGGGCCTATCTGATGCCAGGCTCTCCAAAGGCAGCAGGCCTGGCTTCCTTTCAAGGGGACAGCTGCTATCTCTGCCCGTGCATGCGCTGCCCAGCTGATAGGCCAGCGCATGGGCACAGGCCAGCTCCAGGAACAGAAGGCAGACTGGCTTCTCTGTGCATGCGTCAGCCTCAGCTGGGTGGTGCACATGCAGTCCAGGTCCTGAGTCTGATGCCTCCGTGGCAGAGCGAAAGGACTCAAGAAACTCCGACTTGGGACTCTGGTGCCAAGACTTGCCAACGTCCATGCTAGAGATGCATGTAGAAAACATTCGATCAATTTTAGCCATCATCTAGAGCAGACTTCAACTCCTAGAAATCCTGGCCAGCAAAGGTGTTGCTGAAAGCTCCTGGGAGTTGTAGTCCAAGAACATCTGGAGGCCGAAGATTGGGGACCACTGGATCTAGAGGGTTGGCATCCATGAAGGGGATAGGAGGGGTTCCATATTACCTTATTTCATGCATTGTTTATTAACACCTCTTGACGTACTTCTGGAGGGGGCAATGCCAAATAGCGACACACTAATAATAACTGTGCTTGTGCCAGGAGAGCATTAAAGCATTAAAGTCTTAGAAGTGAACAGCTTAGAGGCTGGCACTGAAAGGCAAGGAGGCACCAACAATTTATGGCCACCGAGAGTGGTAAGTCGGTCATGCGACATTCTGAGCACTCCTGCAAATTCCTTGGGTTTGCAAGAAGTTATTTTCAGGATGCTGTGAAATGTCCCTCAAGCAAACAAGCCAAGCTTTTGAAATGCCTTTAAAACCCTGTCTAGAATGCCGGAGAGAAAAGAGATAGAATCACTGTGGTGCAGAAGGTTGCCATCCCACACCATCAGCTCTGGCAGCTGCTTGGGGCAAAACTGTGGTCCTCCCTGTTGGCTCAAAGCTGTCCATCCCTGTCTCCACAGTTACAAGCGACAGTGGTACCTTGATTTACGAATGTCCCTACTTGCAAATGATTCTAGTTACGAACGGCTCTGTTTGCAAAAAGTTGCTTCGACCTGCAAACGGAGCCTCGGCTTATGAACAAAAAAAGAGGGGGGGAAACGACCTGCAAACGGAGCCTCGGCTTATGAACCAAAAAAGAGGGGGGGGAACCCTTTCCTGCCCATTTTTTGACCTACGTTCACCTTAGGTCAAAAGAAGAAAAAAAATTAAAAATTCACCCCTAGTGGTTCCTGTGGGAACTAATGCCTCTACCTACGAACAGCACCTCAACCTACAAACAGAAAACAGCAGATATGGATTAAATGGTTTTCAATGCATTCCACACTAGTATTTTGCCTTCCCCCAATCTTTCATTTATATTTGTCAGCTGAAAAGTATCTTTGTTTTCTGAAGTTGTCCAATTTGAACCATATATACTTGAAAGGAACAGAGAAACTGAAGGGAGGGGGCATTTCCTCTGCATCCCTCTCACCAAAGACCTTCCTCTTCAGGCAGGCTCTTAAGCAGGAAGTTGTCTCAGGAATGCACTGGTTATTAACCCACAGATTTCTAAATGCTTTTAATTTTTTTTAAAAAAAATCTTGGTTTTAATCCTGATATACATGCAATTGTATTTTAACCTCTCTTGATTGATTGATTGATTGATTGATTGATTGATCGATTGATCGATCGATCGATAGCTAGATGGATGGATGGATGGATGGATGGATGGATGGATGGATGGATAGACAGACAGACAGACAGACAGACAGACAGACAGATAGATAGATAGATAG